ACACGTATATAAAGAAGATATATCTAGAAAGGAGACACTTAGATAAAGGATATATATCTATAGAAAGGAGACACCTACATCAAGGAGATATATCTATAGAAAGGAGACACTTATATAAAGGATATATATCTATAGAAAGGAGACACTTATATAAAGGAGATATATCTAGAAAGGATATGTATCTATAAGGGAGACACATCTACAAAGAAGAGACTGTCTGTACTAGCTAGCTGTTCTTATCTAGCTAGCTGTTTCCACTACCTAGCTATTAGTATTAGCTAGCTATTAGTACTAGCTAGCTATTAGTATTAGCTAGCTGCTGGTGTGGGGCGTACTTGAGGTGTCCAGCGACATCAAAAGGCCCGTGAGGTATTTTATCTGCAGGTACACCGAGTTTAGCTAAACCTTCACCTCTAGAGCAAAGAAGAAGAGACGAAACAGAAAAGAAGAGAGCAGATAATAAAGAGAGACACTTTAAACGTCTATAAGGACGCAGCAGCTCCCCAGCTGCTCGACGCACGGAAGGAGACAAACTTCGCAAAACAGCCTCTGCATTAAAGGAGACACCCAAGGAGACACACCCCACACACAATCAACAATAATACTCATACAGAGTATATATATGTATATATATATATATATATAGAGAGAGAGAGAGAGAGAGAGAGAGAAAGAGAAAGAGGAGATAGAGGGGATAAGAAGGAGACACAGGAGACACATGATTCAGACAAACAGAAAGAGCTGCAGCAGCAGCAGGCGCAGGAAGAACTGCAGCAGCAGCAGCAATAGCAGCAGCAGAAATAGCAGCAACAGCTACAGCAGCAGCAGCAAACAAAACCCTAAGAGGCAGAAAGGAGACAAAGAAGCGGATGGAGACAAAGAGACAAACAGAGCGGAGACAGACAAAAAAAGAAGCATAGAGACAGTCTGAAGCTAAATGGAGGAGAAGACAGCAGATAAAAGACAAACGGAGACACCGAGGAGACACCAACGAAGAAGAAATATGAAAAGCACAGAAGAGACAAGAAGAGCGAGAAGGGAGACAGAAGACAGACAGAGACAGAAAAGGAGACAGTTAATAAGAGGAGACAGAAAAGGAGACAGCAGAGGAGACAGGTAATGAAATAGAAAAAGAGACAGATAATCAGATAGGAGACAGCAGAGGAGACACACAATGAAATAGAAAAGGAGACAGCAAAAGAGACAGATAATGAGATAGAATAGGAGACAGCAGAAGAGACAGATAATGAGATAGAAAAGGAGACGAAGTATGAGGCAGAAAAGGAGACAGCAGGAAGGAGACAGAAGAGGAGACAGCAGGAAGGAGACAGAAGAGGAGACAGCAGGGAGGACACAGCAGAAAGGAGACAGAAAAGGAGACGGCAGGAAGGAGACAGATAATAAAATAATCTTACCGAAGGGAACCTGTACGATAGCAGGGGTCTGAGGGCACTTAAGCCAAACGACATCATCATCGTCTTGCTGCTGCTGCTGCTGCTGCTGCTGCAGCTGCCTCGATACCATTACCCATGCGGGTGTCTCTAAGTCGGCGACTTCTTCTTCTTCTTCTTGGTGCTGCTGCTGCTGCAGCTCCTGGTGCAGTTGAAGGAAGTAGTTATCAATAATCCAGTCGTCTCCTCTATTAACAGCAGCAATCTGCTGACTAGCTACAGCTTTCGGTGTACAGTAAAGCATGCAGCCCCGAGCTTGTTGTAAATTTTTCTGTAATTGTTCCCTCCATTCTGTCTTTGATAAATAATTACCCTTCTGTTCATTCTTTAAGAGACTCAATAATGTAGTTATCAATAATCCAGTCGTCTCCTCTATTAACAGCAGCAATCTGCTGACTAGCTACAGCTTTCGGTGTACAGTAAAGCATGCAGCCCCGAGCTTGTTGTAAATTTTTCTGTAATTGTTCCCTCCATTCTGTCTTTGATAAATAATTACCCTTCTGTTCATTCTTTAAGAGACTCAATAATGTTGCTGCTTCTCCTGTACGAGGAGGGCCCACCCTCGAAGCCTTTGCTATTGAAAGGGGATCCCCAGCAGCATCATGTAAAGGGACACCTGCAGCCCCAGCAGCAGCAGCAGCAGCAGCAGCAGCTGCTGCTGCTGCTGCTGCTGGGGATTGATCAGCAGCTGATGAGACACCCGGTGTCTCCTCTGTCTCCACTTGCAAAGTTAAATGCACTAAGAGACTGTCTCCTTTTAAATAACGAAGAGTAGGCTCTGTAGACGGATCCCATGAAGGCTCCTCGATAACAGCAGAGAGGACAGAGACCTCAGCCCTCCAGGGCCCCCTGCGATATTCTGCAGCAAAGATAAACAGCAGCAGCAGCAAATATAATCAGATCCAAATAAACCTTACACAAAGGAAACATATTATATAATATCTTCATGCTGCTCTGCATGAACAAGCACCAACAGCAACAGCTGCAGTACCAGCAGCAACAACAGCAGCGAGAGCAGAAGCAACAGCAGAAGCAGCAGCACGAGACAGGAGCAGCAGCATCAGCATCAGCAGCATCTGGAACAACAGCAGCAACAACAACGACAGCAACAGCAGCAGCAGCACCACTAGCAGCAGCACCAGCAGTAGCAGCAAAAGCAGCAGCAAGAGCAGCACTATTATCACAAGCAACAGGAGCAGCAGCAGCAGCAGCAGCAACAGCAGCAGCAACAGCAGCAGCAGCAGCAGGGTGCTGACTGGTGATGAGTAGAGGCCAGCCCTTAAATAGCTGTAATGGTTGTCCCTTTTCAGTGCATGCAAGTGTCCCTTCCCAGCCCTTAAGGTTGGGTGTGTCTCTTCTGAGTGCATAAGGAGAGAAAGCTAAAGGGTTTAAAGGCTGCAGAGACAGCAGCGAAGGCATCGGCTCTTCACCGTTTACTGCTTTATCAATATACTCTACAGATGAAGCTAAAGGATAAGGGTCTTGCGACTCTACAGGCCCCGACTCCGACAGCTTCACGCGCAAAAACCAGCGCCCTGCACACAACCAAACCCTAAACCCTAAACCCTAAACCCTAAACCTGTGTTCCCGCATCCCAAACACCGAATCGTCAAGCCGAGGTCGCTTGAAACGCCCCCTACGGTTTAATAGCGTTTACTAGGGTTTAATAGGGTTTTCCTAAGAGCAGCACTATTATCACAAGCAACAGGAGCAGCAGCAGCAGCAGCAGCAACAGCAGCAGCAGCAGCAGCAGCAGCAGAGTGCTGACTGGTGATGAGTAGAGGCCAGCCCTTAAATAGCTGTAATGGTTGTCCCTTCTCAGTGCATGCAAGTGTCCCTTCCCAGCCCTTAAGGTTGGGTGTGTCTCTTCTGAGTGCATAAGGAGAGAAAGCTAAAGGGTTTAAAGGCTGCAGAGACAGCAGCGAAGGCATCGGCTCTTCACCGTTTACTGCTTTATCAATATACTCTACAGATGAAGCTAAAGGATAAGGGTCTTGCGACTCTACAGGCCCCGACTCCGACAGCTTCACGCGCAAAAACCAGCGCCCTGCACACAACCAAACCCTAAACCCTAAACCCTAAACCCTAAACCTGTGTTCCCGCATCCCAAACACCGAATCGTCAAGCCGAGGTCGCTTGAAACGCCCCCTACGGTTTAATAGCGTTTACTAGGGTTTAATAGGGTTTTCCTTAGGGTTTACTCGGGTTTACTAGGGTTTGTTTATTACGGCTTATGTGGGTTTATTAGGGTTTATTAGGGCTTAGTAGGGTTTAAAAGGGCTTAAAAGGGTTTATAAGAGTTTATAAGGGATTCTAAGGGTTTAACATGGTTTGTAAGGGCTGATCAGGGTTTAAAAGGGTTTATAAGGGTTTATAAGGGTTTTAGACGGTTTACAAGACTTTTATAGGGGTTTAAAAGGGTTTAAAAGGGTTTAGGGTTTATGCTGACCAGTGGTGCATTTCCAGGAATTGTTTGCTTGGAGTTCGATCCTAACATTTTTCTCGCGCTGAAGAAGTCGGGGAGCGGATCCCAGAAGAGACAGAGTGCTGTCTTTAAGGGCCCCCTTAGCTTTAAGGGCCTCAACCTCAGCAGCACTAAGACCTGAGGTGCATATACACCCGATAATAGAGAAGAGACAGCAGCAAAAGGAGACAGCAGATGTTCAATATATATGCACATACTCAAAATCTAACGAAAACAGATACAGTAGGCTAAAGAGACAACAACATATTAAACAAACACTAAGGAGACAGACAGTAAGCAAAGGAGACTGTATTAATTAAAAGGAGACAGTAAGAAAAGGAGACAGCAGGAAAAGGAGACAGTCAGAGGCGTATATACATATACATATTTATATACATATATATATGTATATATACATAGATGCATATATATATATATATATATATATGTCTGCGCGA